GATAAGATTATAAAAGCGAGCAACTATTTTTGGTGGCTCATAATCATTTAGGGTAGAAGATTGGTCTTATTATCACCGTCTTCACCAAACGATTATCCCCATCCCTCGAAAATAAATTTCTTACAAAAGAGTGTGGGGTTTGGACAATAAGGGTATTTATATAGTTCGTTTAGCTTACAAAAGATGGTAGAAAGAACAGACAAAGAGATTGGGGAGTTGCAAGTGCTAGTGGACTGGAATTAGGTACGGAAATAAGAGATTCCTCCTAAATTTCAGATCTTCACATGGAAATGGATACATGATATTCTACCAGCTGCTGGGGGGAATTTGGTGAACATAAAGAAAAAGGGGTGTGAAGATTCTCCCTTCGGTGGATTGAAGGAAACACAAAAGTCGCTTGAAGCTTTTCTAGTGTTGATCCAAAGTCGCCTCAAAATTCATCTGGATGCAACAAGCTTTCAGGGTTGGGGGAGGGGTGGTGGTCCGGAATCATTTGGGGGAATTTAGCCTAGCTGCAATTCACGGAGCCCTGCCCGTGGTCAATGGAGATTGTAGAGGCGATGGCGGTACGGTATGATTTGGAGTTGGCTAGGCGATTTTGTTGGGCGAATGTTGATGTGGAATCAGATTGCATGTTGTTGAACGAGAAACTGATGCAGGAAATGCGCTCAACGCTTGAGGTGGAGGAAGTGCGCGATGAGATAACGCAAGAAGCTTACAAGATAGGGAACGTCTGTTTCCATTTTGTGGGTCAAGATTTGAAGGTACCAGCCATCTTCTAACCCACTCCTTATGTAACTGGGATTAAGAGGAATTGTGAACCTCTGGAGCCCCATTTTTATCATTCCCCTGCTCCATAATGATTGTACTCCTATGGCAGCCAATCATTAAACAAAAGTATGAAGTTTTATGATGACTTGAATCCGTACAGGTTATTGTCAAAGGTTAGCACGTATCAATAACTATCCCATCATAGGCCAAGTTTAACCTAGGACGGCATTGTCGTATAGTGGTAATCAAGGTCGTATTTTACTCGGGTCCTAGTACCCTAGCCTACTTCCCACCTAGTTGCTAATTAGTTAATCGATTTTTGGCGTTTTGAGGGGAGGATATGATGAAACCCTAGTCTAAAGATTAATCAAAGCTAAAAGCAGAAGCAGTTACTTCGGGTAACTATCTCTCCCCCTAGCTTAGGGTTTCAATGCATGTATAGATACTTAGAGTCATCGAATGTGGTGAGTGAGCTCTTTTCCATGGGCCTTCTTCGTTATCCACACACCTCAGAGTACGCCTCCCCTAAACCCATATATAGTCACCTCGATCTAGGCTATCGTATCTGGGGCATTAAGCTTATGGCTCATTTCAATGGACACATTCCACCGTCCACATCGAGGTTTCATCTCGGTTCCATCTAGGAAGACTACCTATAGCAGGGGTTCGGTCGCCTTGACCACTATAGGCATCCATTCACACATCTATCGTAAACTCGCCAGATGGCGTATACTCGTCTAACCCTGGAACTCCATACCCAGCGTGGTAGCATAAATCAGGCTAAGAGGAAAGATTAAGGTGACTTACCCAAGCATCATCATTTAGGGAAGAGTGGCATTAAAATCAACCTGACAAAGACATTCTTTCATTCAAACCCTAAAATATCCACACATACATAGTAAACCCTAAAACTAGGGTTTGGAGTTTACAACACCTAGTACCTTAGAGGACTACTCTATAAAGGAGGGAAGAAGATACATGGTAGAAATAGAAGAAGGCTTGAGGTTGAAGAAGATGCCTTCTTGCTCCTAGCTCCTCCACCTTCTCCTTCTCTTCTCCTTCCTTCAGCTTCTCTCTCTCTTCTCTCTCTATAGAACTAGATAATTTCTCTCAAAATCAGCTCAACTCAAAAGGGGGGAAGTGGTCTTCTATTTATAGAGTTCAATAGACACGGGCAAGTTCGCGGGCTAGGGGCTGAAGATCGCGCCCATTAACTTGAGGCTGCGATCTTAAGGGAAAGTTCGCACGCGAGAGACAGGAGATCGTGGCCGGGATCTTTTGGGGAGAGACTGCGATCTTTGAAAGTCACCATTTTCGCCTTGCAAAATGTGGAGATCGCGGCCTAACATCCCGGTCGAGACCGCGGTGTCACGGTTGTGATCTTTATCGCGGGCACGAAAGAACGTGACCGTGATTGACGGCGGAAACTTTCTGCTTCTCCCGATACGACCTCTTTTGAAGTTCACACCCTTGGCTCCAAATTTTGTGGCCGCGAACTTGAGCATGCGATCTTCAGGTCAAGTTCACGGGCTGGAAGCAAAAGATCGCGGCCAGGATCTTTGCTTTGCAGGCTACGATCTTGTGCTCTGGTTCATGGACTCTCTTCATGGCTGGGATCTTAGCTCTGAAGGCTGGGATCTTAGCTCCTTTGGCTATGCTCTCCATTTTTGCCCCTTTTCTACACTTGTGCACCTTTTTCGTACCTAATACACATGTATCATCTAAACCATTCTAAAATCACATCGAATTCAAAAAGGAATGGAAAAGGGATGCAATTGACGATGTTTAAGCATTTATGCACATTAATTACACAAAACAAACCTTAATATGAACGGAAAATAACACCAATTTAGGTGTTATCATTTTACTAAAAAAATAGTAGTTGTACAATCGGTTCGGTGTCGGTTAACCACTAACAGATATGGCAGTTATCGGTTAACCAATAAGCAAAAAAAAAAACTCGATAATCGAATCAATTAGCTTTATCGATTAACCATCTCCTAGCGGTTTGGTTAGTGGTTAGTTTTGCGGTTAACCAATAATCACTCACATACGTTCAAACAAGTACAAATATACCTAATCAACAAATAAATTTTATTTTCTTTCACGAAATATAATTAAGCGAAGCAATAACCACTTGCAATACACAAATCACATCCAATTAAGTTTAACAAGTGTCATTTAATCCTAACCATTTGTAAAACAATTTAAATACACTTCTACGTTATTAACAGAAAATACTAATACTCAAAAATAACATCAATACAACATCCATCGTGAATTTATAATCTAAATTCAAATTTCAATATATTAAATTAGAAATAATCAAACGTATTCATCTAATTATAGTGAATAATAACTATCGAGACATCAAACAGAAGAACCACAAGATCATCATCATCCACAAACATATACGAAACAAAGAGAACTAGGGTGAGATGTATGGTCTGTCGATTGCAAATCGGAGTCAAAGAGGATGAATTTTAGGTTTTGACTCTTAAACACATTTAACACTTTGGGTGGAGGGTTGTTTGCAATAAGTGGAAATGGGATGTCTGGAATTGTGACTTTAGTTAGTTTTGAACCTTTGGACTTTTTCTCGTAGCGAAAGACCAAAACTATGTGATTATACTAGCAGGTGGTTATCGGTTTTCGTATCGATTAACTACTAACTGATTAGTCGATTAGCGATTGACCATTAACAAAATACAGCTAACCAAAATGAACCATTAAAAAATTAGCGGTTATTGATTAACCAACAACCTAGTTTTTGGTGCGGTTATCGGTTAAAACCGGTAACCAACTAACCCTTTACCATCCTAAAAAAAGGGTTCGAAACTACAAGTCTTACCTCACGGAAGTAACTGCCCCGACTATTGAAAAATGCTAATAACAATTAGCGGAAGAAGACATTGATGACCTCATGGTCGTGGAGTTGCTAGCTCTCCGTGAAGCTATTCTTTGGTGCCTCGGACATGGATTTACTGAAGTACGCTTTCAGGGTGATTCTAAAGTGCTCATTTAGAAGATTTGTCATGTAGACACTCATGATAATTGAATGGGGGTTGTTCATGAGGAGATCGTGAATTATTTTGCTGTGAATAGTGGCCTTAGTGTGTGATTTGTATGTCGACGTAGCAATATGGTAGTCCATCTGGTGGCTAGAAAGGACCTTACATTGTACCCGACTATGAGTCGCTCTTTTGATTTTCTGGTCTGACTTAATTTCATGATGTAACTACTAGGGATAGCAATGGGTTGGGTCGGGGACGGATAGTGCATATCCGTTACCCTACCCAAAGTAGTTCGGGTTTTACCCATACCCATACTCATATAAGAAACGAGTAGAAAATCCAAATATGCCCATACCCGTTCAGATTTCGGGTATCCACGGTTATCCATGGGTAATAATTTTTCTTTATAACTCCAACCAATATGTTAATATTTACACGTCATGTTAGGTAAGACAATAAGTACGAAAATAATTTACTAGAATGAAAAAAATTAATTAAAACAACACAATTTCATAAAAAATTATATTTATATGTTAAAATTAAAATATGTTAGAGAAAAATATTGATTATTTATAGACAAAATACATATGCATGTGTATAATCGGGCGGGTTCGGGTTGGATAGTGAGAAAATCATGCCCACCCATTACCGCAATATTTGGGTTCGAGTTTTACCCTTACCCACTAAAAGTCCTTCGGGATCGGTTTTTACCCTACCCGATTAGGTCAAATTCGAGCGGATATCTACGACTACAGATATTTTTGCCATCCCTAGTAACTACCTTTTCAATATATTTGATTATCTTTTGTAAATAAAAAAAAACCAACCTAAGTACTTGAACACAAGTTATCCTATTGTCCAAGGCCTAAGGTAATAGAAAGCAACATTATTCTTGGTCATAAATTAAGATTTTGATACAAATGTGCAAACAGCTTTTACCATTACAAAGGTTTTACAAGCCGCTCGTGTAAGTAACTAGTGAATCCCAAGCCCCACTACCCCCAACAAATGAATTGAACAAATCCTGCAGAGACGAATGAATGAAGAATAACAACCACTTTCAACAGCGAAAGAAAGCACAGAAAGATTTCGGGAAACCACCCATCAAGAAAAGGAACAAAAATGTAGGAATCCTTAAAACAGTTATTTTTCATTCCCTATTCCTTTCACTTCTCCAAGAGATAGAGAGAGACAGAACTAAACACCCGATGGCGGCTACATGTCACCATTTGGCAACACTACATTTTCAGCCTTAATCAAGCTGGTATCCACCTTTGGAGGACCAGAATGCCGTCTTGGCCTGGCAGGCGAAGAAGGCGGATATGCAAGCCTCTTCTTGGCAGATGACAAGGCTCCTTTCTCCTTTTCTGGAGGTGTAGTCCCATTCCGCTCTGTCCCTCCTAACCCCAATGGACTCTGGAACCTGGACTTAGCTTTTGCAGACTCTGTAGGCACCATATAGCTCGAAAGCGATGCCAAGCTTTCATCATCCCTCACAGACGATCCTGCAATGATGTGCCTTCTGTTTGACTGGAAAATAACCATACTTCTGGTGTCTTCGTCTGGGAAACCAATGCTGCTCCTGGGAGTTGCAGACTTGAGTTTTCTCACAACCGAAGAAACCGGCTTTGATGTAGCTGAAGGAGAATTGGTACTCATTTGATGATCTCCAGGGGAGAGTTTATCAGAGTTGAGCTGATAACGGGCATAAGCTTTGCTGATTTCTCCACCAACCAAGCTTCGGTTGTTTCCACTCTTTACAGAAGCTTGATCATTATTGGGATCTTTGTCAGTAGCAGTAGTGTTCTTTGTTTCCCAAGGATGAGCTGACATCCATCTTTCCAACCAGCTCCAGCCCCAGGAAGGATTACCAGGTGTCATGAACATACCTGTAGCTGGTCTTGCAGGGTTTTTCAAGGTTTGCTGCATAAAGATAGTTAATGGTTAATGTTGGTTCGATCATCAACCCTAAACCCCTTTTGGCTCTCATTCTGGGAAAAAGAAATCAGAAGGAATGATTGATTACCTGATGAGAGAATGAATAAGCCAGTGCTCTTTCCCTTCTCATGGCTGCCTCAAACTTGCTGAGCATGTTGCTCTCTACCTGCTCCTTTGACTGCACACTATCATCCCATCCCTCTTTCATCTGTTACAATAGTTTCATAATGCTTAGCACGATAAATGACACACACCCAACGTATTCATCTGTACTTGATGAAAACAGGTTGAGGGTTCTTCGGCTTCAGAATAAAGGGGATGATTTCGCAAAGTCAATTTTGCTATGCGTACTCTGGACAATAATATTTGCAGTAACATGTAACTGAGCAAAATTCTACGACATAATTTTTTGCACAAAGACTACGAACTAAACAAAAAAAAATTATTTCCAACTACCTCTGAATTGACAAATATGCCAAACCAAACATACCATCGATAAGAAACTGAGAGAGGAAACTAACCTGCAAGCTCTCGAGCTCTCTGGCGTGTTTCTGCAAAAGTTGTCTCTGGAGGGCCGGATTTTCTTCAGACATTCTGACTCTCCTGGTATGGATTTGAGTCTGTACCCGAGCTAAAGTTTGCATGCACTTGAGCGTGTGGACAGCCTGCCTCTTTACAGTAGGTCCTCCAATCAGCATTTTCAGCCTAACCAATCCTCTTAAAGCCCTCAATGCTCTCCTAGCCTAAGAAAACACAAAATGCAACAAAACTCCATCAGACTTTCAATATGGAAACAAAGACACCCTAAACCATGACATATTGACTAGAGAGATTACCAGATACCCACGAAATGCAGTTTGAATCCTGATTGCTGCTGCTTCCTCCTTTGATTTACCAGCGAAGTTATTAGCTTTGCGAACCACTTCCACAGTGGTTTCAATGACAACAGGAGCTGCAGGCTCAGGTAGCTCAGAAGGAGCAACTGGCAAAGTGTAGCCATGCTTGTTCACTTCAATTGTGGTCTCTAGTACTTTCACCTCCTCATCTAGCTGAGGAGGAAGTGGGGGGAGCGGGGCTTCTGCTGCCACATTCTCTATTGGAGCTGAACCGGCTTCCAGGTTCTACTTGGCAAACCATTTCTTCTTGGATTTACTTGACCTCTGGGGGAATCATAGATAGTAAGTGTAAATATGAAGTCCCACATCTGGAAACAATGCACAGTTTTATCATACAACATCGATTTGAGAGTAAGAACCTCATTTTTCTTCTCCTTGGAGTCAAGGCTGAGTGCTTTCTTTACACTAGAAAACCAATTTCCTTTCCTTCCCATCACTCCTTATCATTCCACAACCAAAATCTTCTGCAAAAGGAAATCAAGAGATCAATTGGGAAATTCTTCAATTACCCCACAAAGAAAACTGACTGGAACTCCAAAACAGATTGGACCAAATCTGATGAAGTCAAGGGGTGGAAAGTGAATCAACAAAGATAGAGTTAAAATCTTAAGAAATCATAGTCGAACATCAATTAACATCTCCGGATATCCCAAAATATAAAACTGCATAGGTGAAGCGAAAGATGCCAAAGCAGTTTGACTTTAGCTGAATGTGTCTAGTTGTGACACCCCCGGGAAATTGTCGGCCAGCAGTAACAGGCCAAGACAGTTTTGAAATACCAGTGTTTCGCCAGAAGTCCAGGCACAAGAAAATTGTTGAATGGAAGCGTCAAAATCCAGACAAGAACCCAACCACCCACCGACAAACCACAAACGGGAAAAGAGGAACCCACCTCAATACTCAGAAAGGGGAAGATTAGAAAACCAACCAAAGAGACTGTACAGGCAACAGCAAACCGAGCAAAAGAATTGAATTATTTGTTTTTGTTTTGCCCCCAGCTGGGGTCCATGATTTAGAAGCTTCATCCTAGAAATGAAGAAACGGCGGAAAAGAGTGAATAGAATTAGAGTACCCGTAAGTGGAGAATTGAAAATGTGACAGATCTCGGACAACTTTCTCAAGTAGGCCTCCGGAGAGCCTCACTTCTACCTTATCTTCCCCAACAGGAAAAAAGAATGAGGAGGAGAAAATGAAGATAGAAGAAGCTGGTGAGAAATGTGATGCACAGAGAGAGAAGGGGAAAAGGAGATGATGCTTCAGATCTTTCCTTGGGAAAAAAGAAATCAATAATATATGGAGAGAAAGGGAATGAAGAAATGGGAAATGGGAGGAAGAAGGGAAAGAAGCAGAGAAAGAGAGACCCACAAGTCCAGTTGGTTTTTTGGGCAAGTTGGGTGAGAAAGAGAGTGTTTGTGAGCACCACTTACTCCTTCATATCCTCTTTACGGCTTTACTACTCAGCTCAGCTAAGCTCAGCTCATCTAATATTCAATCAGCTCCGCCTATCTATTTTCAAATCAAAATGGTGAAAGCCACAAGAAGTGGGACTCATTTTTCATTGACGCGTCCTGGGAGAGCGGCAGAAACCGGTGCCGGAAGGGCAAGGGAATTGCCGGAGCAGCAACTGGCAGACCGTGGTTTGACAGAGCCTCTCTGCTTCTGCTCTACTGTGTGCTTCTATTGAATGGGGTGAACAAGTTTGACAGCTTATTACTTAATTGGTAAATATAATTTAAGGCAAAATTCATATGTATAACCAAAATTATGACGTTTGTGACAATAATAGTCACTTTTGGAGAAATACTAAGAATAGCCAGAATTTTGAAAGTTTGATGACACTAATAACCATTTCTGTTACATAAGTCAAATTATCAGAACGCTAACCTAGCTTCCAACTCACCCCCTCTTTCGTTTCCATCTCAGCATTCACTGACAGGTGGACGACACGTCATTTACAAAAGTAAAAAAAAAACCTCCTATCCCTAATCTCCTCGAACAACTCCCCGCCCCTCCTCCCATCTCCCATCTTCCTTCAATCACCATTAATCCGCTTCCAATACCCTTCTTCTTCTCCCCCAACAACCCACCACCACTCCTCCCATCGCCATCACTATTAATCGACAGCAAAGAATCCGCCAAAGCTTTAGTAAGCACCCCGACGGCGAACTGAGAGAGAGAGGAGGATGAGGCGGCAGCGGCAGCTGCTCAGGGGAAAGGCAGCAACTCAAGATCCGCTGCGGTTCTGAAAATCTCTTTGCCATTTTCGCTAGTCTCGCTTCCGCCATCGTCGTCGAGTCTCTCCATAGGCAAGCAGCAGTGGGAATCCTCCCAGATCCAAAATGTCCACTCGATTTTTGTTTGATTTTGCAAAGCTTCAAACCGACGAGAATTGTGAACATCGCAGATCTAGGACCGGAGAAGAGAGGGCACTGCCCAATGCAACGAACACGAAGAAGAGAGGGGGATGGGGCGACTGGGAGATGCAGCGGTCGATTGACGATGGCGACGACGGGTCGCCAGCTCCTCGATGACGGTATCGAGCAATGGCTTCTTCGCAAGTCGCTTCACACCCACCCTCAGGGAAAATACCTGGACTGCAATTGCGATTTCCTCGTGCTCGAGAAGTTGCACGACCCTAATTACCTTGTAATCCTGGGTCGACGAATCGAACCCAAAACCGAGGAGGGATTGTGTAGTTGGAAGTGTAGAGATTGTGCATAAGGCAGACCATCCGCGGCACGATCTGACGACGGGGAAGGCCTTGTCGTTACGATGGGTGAGTGGTTTTGATTTCAACATAGTGGGCGGATTCCCTGTCATCGTGGCGGAGGAAGTAGTGGTTTTCCAGAGTCCTGGAGCTGAAACAGAGGCGGGTGAGAAACAAAGGGTGTTGTTTGGATGAAGAAATGGTGGATTGTTGGTTGAAGTGGGAGGCGATGAAATTGGGTTGATTAAAATAATGGTGGATTCTTGATTGTTTTTATTATTACTTATTTAATTTGATTCAAAAATGTTAAAATTTTGATTATTTTCCACCTAATATTATTTTTGAATAAAATACGTCCCGTCATTTCCTGTTAGTCCAGTCAACACGTTAACTAACACCGCCAAACAATTGGACGAAAGTGGCTATTTTTGGTATTTCGCCAAACGTGGCTATATTTGCCAAACCGTCAAAATTTTGGCTACACATGTGTATTTTGCCATAATTAAATAACCAAACCTTTCACCAAAAAATAAAATAATAGTCAAACCTTTTCGAAAACAAATTATTAGCCAAATCGTCAACTCTCTGTCTGGTCAACCGTCAGTTGATTCCAACGTGGAAAGAAACTGTACACGTCGGCCCATTTTTCTGATGTGGCACCTAATAAAAATTAATGGGAAAATGAAATAAGAAATGGAAAAATCAATGCATTATCTAATCACACACACTCTCTCTCTCTCTTCATTCTCTTCCACCCATTCTCCTCGTTCGAATTCCTCTCTCACAGAAGAAACCCTCTCCTCCTCCTGCGAAACCAATCCCGTCGCCCACCACAGAACCAAAATCAACGGCGCCGGCTTCGTCCCTCCTCATGTGAAAGCCGGAAAAAGCTAGCGTCGCTCCCGCTCGTGCATTCACAGGCCGGGGATTTTGGCGAAGGAAACGTCGGAGCGCTGGCGAGGAGACGACGGAGCGCTGAAGGAGACGACTGATTTAGGTACCCATTCCCTTATTTTGCTTTCAAACCCTAGGTTCCTGATCCCCATTTGATTTAAATTGCCCTCTTTTATAGTAGTGCGATTTTGGCGGAATCTGGTTTGTAAGGACCACAGCGGGACCACTGAAGAAATAGTCACGACCCTGCATTACAAAGGTATGAAAGCAGATGCATAGGATTGAACTGTAATTGTACTACGAATGAAAAGTCATCTTCCCGGGAAAGTCACGCATAGCTTTTTGCTTCTTCTTCGCAGATGATGGAATATTTGGATATTCTATACAATCATGGTGGGGTTATGGACTTCTCGAGATCGGAACCACGATATGTTGGCAGTTTTTCAGAGAAGATAGCGGTGGATGTTGATGAAGTGTGTTACTTCGAGCTTTTGAATGTGGCTACAATTTACTCGAAGTATGTTGGTGTTCAAAAGATATGGTACTTAACACCGGGGGCTACAATAGCGGATGGTCTACATGAAGTGCATTCCGATAAGGATGTGATGGAAGGGTTGCTAGTCGATGCAGCCGGTACTAGGGATGTGTCAGTTTTTGTAGAGGCTGTCGAGGTGGAGGATGGACTGGTGGGAGACAATGAGGAACCAGACTTGTTTCAAGGTTTGACGAAGGATGCTGAAGATATTGGTGAGGGCTCGGTTGCGAGGAAAGTGATCCATGTTGCCGACTCTGATGATTCTCTTATGTCAGAGCCAAATAATTCAGCCCCCCGTCCCATGTCAGCTTCTGATTCAGGGGATGAAGTTGAGCAGCCTCGTGGTGTTGAAGATGATTACCTTGACGTGGAAGAAGGGTAAGCTGATTCTTCTGATGAGGCTTCCAGAGAAACCAATCCAAGGGTGTCGAATGTGTTCAATGAAGAGCCTGAGGAAAGATATGCCGATTTGCCGGTTTATGATCCCGATTGTGATCATGATGAATTCTTCTTCAAAATTGGGTTGAAGTTCTTGTCTGTTGAGCAATTTAGAGATGCTATATACAAGCACACTCTGTTGCTGTTGGGGCAAATGTCGCATGTACAAGGAGTGATGGAAGTAGGAGGGAGTTTAAATGCAAGGATGAGGCTTGTGATTGGAGGGTATATGTTGTCTGGTGGGGAGATGGTGCAAGTTTCATGGTTAGGCGGATAGGTGCGCCTCACACTTGCTCTCGGTCTCTACGAGTCAACTTAGTGATTGCAAGGTTCCTTGCTCGGCATTATTTCAAGCAACTCAGGGTCAATTCGAAGTGGGAGCCTTGCCATATTGCTGAAGTGCTGAAGGTAGAATTGGTGGTCGATGTTGAGGTAAGAACTTGCTATTGAGCTAAGGTAATTGGACGGGAAATGTTGAATGGGACCCTTGACGAAGAGTATCACAAGTTGAGAAGCTATCTGGCAGCTTTGAAGAGGGCAGATTCGGAGGGACGATTCATTCTAGATGTTGTTCCAGACGGGACAACGGATAAGGTGCATTTCATACGGTTCATGGTGATGTTTTCAATTCTGAAAAATGGATTCCTCGCTGGATGTCGAAGGATTTTTTCAGTAGATGGTTGTTTTTTGAAGAGTGAGGTCAAAGGAATGTTGCTGACTGCTGTGGGAAAAGATGGGAATAACTACATTCTCCCATTTGCATGGGTTGTGGTAGAAGGAGAGAACAAAGAGTCATGGATGTGGTTTCTCAACATAATCCAAGAAGAGTTAATGTTTGGTGATGGAAGCGGATGGGGCAT